GGGGGGGGACAAGAGGGCGTGGGGAGACATAGAGTGAGACTGTGGTTTAGTTAGACTGTGGGCTCTAACGTTTCCATGTCCGCTCTGCAGGGACGGCTGCCGGTGAAGTGGATGGCACCAGAAGCCCTGTTCGACAGAGTCTACACACACCAGAGCGACGTGTAAGTCAAAGTCTCTGCGGCAGGAAAACACGTGCAGCATGAGACTAATGTGACAGTAGAATGACAAACATCTTTGATATGAGTTCTGTTTTAATCGCATCATATGGCTTCATACGTCATTTTATACCACAGTCAACGGAAATAAATATGTGTCCTGATCACATCCTGCGCCCTCTACTCTCGTCTGTGCTCAGGTGGTCGTTCGGCGTCCTGATGTGGGAGATCTTCACGCTGGGTGGCTCGCCGTACCCCGGTATCCCGGTTGAAGAGCTCTTCAAGCTGCTGAAGGAAGGACATCGAATGGACAAACCCTCCAACTGCACACATGAACTGTAAGCAGGAGCTCCTCTCTCTTCTTGTCTCGAGATATTTTGCAACAGTACAGATGGAAATGAAATGAAGCCTGCAAGCTAATTAATTTCCCAGTCCTTGCTGTGCTGAGCTTTTTGCTTTACTTGTGAGCAGTGACAAGTAGAGCCGAGTGATTTGATTATTTCAAATAGGGTTTTTTTTTTTTTTTTTTCTTTTGGAAGGGTATCCGTCAACTAAACTTTGTGCATTGTTGTCTCGTTGTAGATTATTTTAAGTGTAGAAATGATGTTTTTCTGTTTTTATTTTTTTCCTCTGCAGCTACATGATGATGCGTGAGTGCTGGCATGCTGTTCCCACCCAGAGGCCGACCTTTAAACAGCTTGTGGAGGAGCTGGACAGAGTGCTGCTGTCCATCTCTGACGAGGTGGGCTTCAAACACACACACACACACACACACACAGAGTCACACATGCTAACGTATGCACTCGTGAAGATGTACACACACATGTTCTTCTTCCTCTCTTTCCCAATCTGCTGTCCAGATGTCTTCAGTGAATGTGTAGAGAGCAGACTTATAAACTCCAAACAACAGGAACAAAATCAAAATGTGTCGAAACTATCGAAATTGCTGAAATTTCAGAGACTTTTTTCCGACAAATACAGACCAACAAACTGTCGTCCACAGATCAGTCGACGGTTCATGTTATTGATTTGTTGGTTTTTACTTGCACTCGTACAGAAATTTATAGGCTTAGATACAAGCCTAAAAATCTTTTTAACCTTGACCGATCAATATTGGTCTCAATATTGGTCTATACTGATGTGGTGGTGTAAAACTGCAATGGCAGCAATTCTCCACATCTGCATCTCCTCTGTCATGGACATCATTAAATGAACGGCATGTTCAACAGCAGCCTGACAGCCTTTGAGAACACGCCAAATTCAGTTTCCTCTGCTGTTTACTGCCAATTTTACTAATATGTCAATGCGGATTAGTTTCTTTTTCTGCCTCTGCGGAGACACCAACAGCTCCCTAATTTCTGAACTTCCTCTCTCTCCTCTCAGTACTTGGACCTGTCGACACCCTTCGAGCAGTACTCCCCGTCATGTGAGGACACGTCTAGCTCCTGCTCCTCCGACAACGACTCCGTTTTTACCCACGATGCTTTGTCCACCGACCCCTGTCTCCTGGGCTACCAGGATGTGCGCTCCCGGATAGACATGAAGACGGCGCTGAGATAGGCGCCCAAACATATACACACATGAACACAACACCACAGTGGGGAAACTTTGGGCTTTCATTGAAAAACAAAACATTCACTGGCGGCCATACTGGAGGTCCACAGCAGCATTTCTAAAGTTAAGTTAAAGTTTTTATTCTTGTTGAGTTTTACAGTGGACCTCCATCATGGCACCAGACAAAGCCCTTAGATTTAGGCGGGCATTTTTTACACACACACACATAGACACAAATACACACACAGACACAAGTGTGCACGTGGAGCACTGAGGCCGGTGGGCTTCATTACATGGTGGAGATTTGTAGGAAAACGTTTCATTGTGGGCAGAAGAAGGAGCAGAAGAAAAGACGACAAACTAAACATGGTACTTTGGACTATCAGCTCTGGCACTGTGCCCAAGAACAGTTGTAACGTTGGAAAACTGCGGCACTAAACACAACAGAAGAGACCCTGGTACTCAAAAACAGCTTGAAATGCTTTCTTTGATCGGCTCTCCTTCAGAGAGGCGACGGACAATGATCTCCCCACATAAACTCAACCCAAAACCGGGGCTTGAAAACCTTGGTGATAAAGACATTTTAACAAAACAAAAAGATTTATTTTGCTATGATAAAAAAGAAGAAACTGATTGTTAAATATAAATCTCTCTATATAAGATTATTTTACTTTTGTGTTGCTTATTTAAAAAAGAAAACGGTCTTAAATCTCAGGATCTCTCGTGCTAAGAAGTTGCTGTAGCAGCAGCAAAGTGCCTGAATTTATGATTTCCTGTGAATATATTAGAATATTAAAATATTGTATGTACATATCAACAGCAGAAAGACGATTGCCTTTTATAAATTATTCTGAATGACACACAAAAATGAAGGTTATTGGAGGCAAAAGGAGAGAGGAATTTAATCAAGTGTTTCAAGTGCCAAACCTGTCACAGCTGTCACACTGTCTTCATGTTCAGGTTTCATTCCAAAATATCACCAAATTCAATTTAGTGAAACATTTGTAACTATTGACCTCTATTACATATGTACACTTTCCCAAAATGGAAGCTTAAAGTCACAGTCAGTAAATAATTAAACATAAAATACATAAATTATAACATTGGAGTCAATCTCAAATAATGAACCAATAGTAGATGCTGTTCAAATTTGGTTTGCATCAGCAACTTTTGTAAACACTGTGTAAAAACTGGCTTTTTTTGAGTTATGACGGACTGAGAAACACAAATTATCTCATTTTCCATCGACAGCTCAAGCCTCAAATGTTTGTGGTGAATTATGGACTGGCTCTTAAACGATGGCGTAAACTTGGGAAATTCTGGAATGAAACTCTCCATTTGTCATTGTGTAGTAAACCGCTGCGGCCTCCGACCCAAGAAAACAGCTTGTGGGTAAATACCAGAAGGAGCCCAGTTATTGTTGCTGTTGTTGGATGAAAACCATAAATTTGCAAAACTTTTTGGATATAAAGAAACAAAAAAAAAGCACAGCTTCTCAAAAGCCCTATTGCCTTTTTAAAACAAGGTCTGAACAGGTCTCCAGACCCCAAAGGTCATGAGACAGACTCATTTACAAGTAAAAACAACAACACTTTGAGACAACATCTCGTGGTCTTCCTCTAACAACAGCTTTACTCATTCAGTCTTTGCCTACATTGCTGCTTTGTCAGAGACAGTGCGTCCACGGTGGGACTCACCCTGAAAGGAGGGCTGACGATTCAGCATGAGGACTCTGTGGGGAGCTGGCCCAGGCCCACTGTCACTGCTGACAAGGAGAGGAGGGCAGGGCGGGGGACACTGAATGTGAAAGCCAGTGTGATTGATTTCAAATAGAGGAGAAGGGGGAGGGACCCTCCTTTGTCTGGCTGTAACCCTTCACCCAACCCAATCTGTTGGCGAGGGGTCCTCAGGTCCGCAGCCTGGCCGGACAATGAAGGCTTTTGCAGGCTTAATGGGTGTGACTACGGACCAGAGGGAGTTTTGGGGGTGGTGGTGTAGGGGTAGCTTGGGCTTGTGTGCAAATGAAGAGGCTCTTATTATGGTAATGTCTCCTCTTCTCTCCCAAACGCCCCTATCTTTATCCATAGCCACCATCTTTTAAATTACAAATCTTAATTCACATTCGCTGCTTCAGCACTGCCACCAGGACCAGCTGCAGAAAATTCCCCTGTGGGGTCGAAATGCCAACTGAGTCCCAGTCTGCTTCCTGGATCTGACCGCAGACAACACAGACACAAACAAAATAACCATTGACAGTTGTTATGTGGAAAGAGAGACCCCCCCCCTCCCCCCCCTCCCCAAAAAAAGGAAAAAAAAAGAGATTTCATTGTATGATTAGATAATATGACATCTTTCATCTTTCGTGTCAACACTTAGCGATTGGTCAATGGTGAATTTGCTTTCAGTCTGAAATTTGGTTGTTATAAATGCTGGTGAAACACGCGGCCTCCTTCAGTCTCCTGAAAGAAATTTTGTTTGGCCAATTGCCCCAGTTTCTCTCTGGTCTTTTTTACTTTTTCTTTCAGATGTTGGAAAGTTTAAAGAAAACGTAAAGGTTTCATTTCAAAGTGCTTTAAATTCATCATCCATTCATCTCACTGTGTGTAAAACCAGTCAACCGTTTTGTCAGCGAAGGATTAACGTATCTACTCTGCTCATTTGTTTGCATTTTATGCCGCCAATCACCTTGTGACAGCTGGTGTCACCGATGGAGATCTCATTTTGGAGTGAAGCTCTTACATTTGCATGAAGTGTCCGGATACATTTGCATCTTTACATTCCAGTTATCCCAGATACAAACTGTAAACAATCACAACTGTTCTTAAACATTTCCTCAAGAGAATTATTTTAGAAATATCTAATTTATTTGTTTATTGTTTTGTTTTTATATGAAATAAAGTATAATTTAAAATAAAGCAGCTCTGTGTCCTGTCTCTGTCGTTGCATTAAAAAAAAAGAGAAAAAAAAATGGCAGTTCATTCTGTCAGGCAGGACAATAACCAGACGCAAAGTGGAAGCCAAAAATTTCTTGATTCTGGACAAGTTGTTATCGCTCCCATCAGCTAATATTGGCTGCATTGCTGCTTTCATTTGAACCCTACAGAGACAAAAAATAGCGTGTCGTCCCTCCCACTGTGGCTAGAGGACTGTCCATGTCGGGCTCAGGGGACAACCAGCTCACAGTGGAGGGTCGTCAGCTCCTCTAGTTCACCTGGGCTCCATGATCTCACCGCCTCTCTCTCGCTCTCTCCTCTCAGCTGGCTTCCACTCTGCTTTGGCTTCTCTTCATTTTGCACCTTAACGAACGCGCGTTTTTGTTAACTTTAATAAATAACATCTGTTTAGGTAAGTCCTTCAGCCAGTTTGAGACTAATGGGACCTCATGTGTGATTTTGAGATTTAGTTTGAGCTAAAAATTGAAATTGGCTTACTCTCTACCCCCCCATGTGTCTATTTAGCTTTAGCACTTAGCATTGTAAGAGAACTAAGAAAGGTTTGAGTTCTTGCTGGATGCAAGAGGAGCAGGAGCTTTTGTCCTCACTTTGTCTTGCAAGTTGTCATCCCATACCATCTATTGAGATTTAAGGAAATCACTGGTGCATGTGATTGAAGTGTTTAGCCACATTTCAGTGGGTTGGAACCACATATACACTCTCTAGGAGACTCAACAGGGTGAAGATGATATATATCTTTGCATGTCTTTAATTGCATAAATGCTGAAAAAAAGAAAATTGAAATATCACAAAAAAAGTTTAGAAGCTTGGCTGAGGTGGAAAAGTCGTATCAGTATGTAGCTAAGTGCAATAGAAACAGACTTAGTGAATAAACTGTGACATGCGTGAAGCATATCACTTTAAATGCAATATTTTAATGGCACCTGACTGGAGACTTAGCACTGCCAGATGTTTATCTCGATGAACCAACTCCTAATATTTATACATAATGGTAGTGGATGAAATCACAGAATTTCTTTTCTTTTTTTCAATTAACCAATTTAAAAGAAAGAAAAATGGATAGATACCCAAAAGATGGTGAAAAAGCAAAAATCAAACTGAGGGAGAAACAAATGTGAGAAAGATGAAAGACAGAGATGGGCACAGCGAGACGGTGAGACGGAAGAATGAAGAGATGGAGGTTAAAGGTCAAGAGGGTGGGAGGAGAGGGCAGCAGTGATCCCAGCCAGCCCCGGCTTTTGAAGTGTGTGTGTGTGTGTGTGTGTGTGTGTGTGTGTGTGTGTGTGTGTGTGTGTGTGTGTGTGTGTGTGTGTGTGTGTAGATGATTATGTTTCAGTGTGTGTTTTATCTCCTGTGTAGATGGTGTGTGGTCTGTACATGTATGTGTTTGCATTTGTGTCTTATCTCCCATGTACAATAAATCTTGATCACCCAGCAAGTCTCCGAGCTCCCTTCCTGCCTGAACTGATAAAGGTCTCAGTCTGGGAGCTGTGTCTGGAGGTGTGTGTGTGTGTGTGTGTGTGTGTGTCTGGAGGTGTGTGTGTGTGTGTGTGTGTGTGTGTGTGTGTGTGTGTGTGTGTGTGTGTGGAGGGGTGTGTGTGTGTGTGTGTGTGTGTGTGTGTGTGTGTGTAACATTAATTGTGACTACCAGCCTTTTTTTTTTCAGGAAATAAGTGAGGAAGTCATACAGTTTATTGGCTTATAGTGGGTCTTCACGGTGTCAGAGGTTTCTGACTGGCTGTTTGAGAATCAGTAAATTCTCCCAGAATAGAGAATCTAAAAGGGAGCTGAGGACAATCACACTCGATCCTGAACCAACAGACTGTCTTCCTCTAACGACACTTCTTCTGATTATGATGACACACATGTGACCAGAGCTGATAGAGAGGCCTCCAATCACAATCCTAGAGTCCTGTGACCTGCAGCAACCATGATTACACTCAGTATGATATGAGACTAGATCTTTGAAGACCTCTAGCCAGTCCAGTTTCTACAGAATTGTACCGCTGCCATTCTTCTCAGGACCTAGTTTACATTTAGGCTAAAGATGTTAAGTAATGAATGCAGTCAGTAGCACGAGTGTTATTTTAGTAACTAGATGTTTTTGACTGAAAAATATTCGGGTCGACAGTATAGAACTCGTTATGCTCACACTCAGACTCACACACACTGATCTACGTGTGTGTGAACATATGAACTGTTGACACACAAAGACGCCTTATCTCCAAAGAACAGTCTGTTCAATTTGTTGAGGTTGCCTAACTTGTGTTACACACACACACACACACACACACACACCACGTGTGTGTGTGTGTTTGTCAGTGTCACCTCTGCTGACCTGGCATTGTAAAAGAAAATGGACGAGGTCAATTAACTAAAAAAAAATAATTTTTTGGGGGAAAAAAAAATACATTTACATTTCAGTCAAAATATCAGCTGCTGCTGCTGGTGCATTACTGGTTACAATGACGACTCATTAGGAATTGAGGACCTGCGGTTAATAACCATTTGCAGCTTCCTGCATGAATATATTTAATATATTATGTATTTTATATATAGTGTTAGTTCAACAAGGAGTTATGAGTCAGAGTATTTCTTGGCCAGCTGCCAGGCATCAGCTGAGACTCTAGGATGTAACTGGTCCCATAATGTCCATAAAAATGGTAAAGTGACATTTTTACGCCTCAGTTTTTAAAGCATTTAAAAGAAAACTGCTGTCACTTAGTCATTCTTCAGTGTCTTTCTTTGTTTTCCCGTTCCCAGTATTTATGTTTCTCTAAGATAACCGTGCTCTTGTGGAACGGATATGAGAGTGGTGTCAATCCACCCATCTACTGTGTCTCTTTGTAAGAAAGAAAATAAGTCTATTTTCCAGATTAATGAACCATTCCCTTGAAACGTGACTTTCCAGTTACGCAGGTCAATCAATAATTATCTTATAATAGCAGTGATTTTAGACATGTTGTGGATGTTCCTGTTGATTTTCACCACTGAAGTGTAAAAAATAAGAAAATAAAAATAGAAAAATAAAAGTCCAGTATGTCTCTTCAAATTATGTATTGATTGTAGCTGCTGCATTTTTGTACTTTTGATAAAACAAGCATCCTACCATCACTGACCATGTGTTATGTGTTAGCACAGAGGGACACAAGGATGATTTTGGTGCCCCTGCTCTCAGTCTAAACTCACCACTGGACCAACACGCTGCATTTGTTATGATTCAATCCTCTAAATGTTCTGCTCAGGGGTGCCAGAGGTTTTCTGCTGGGTGTGTGAATGTGTATGACAGCAGTACTCGACTCAGCGGCCAGTATATTTGCTGACTTGTTTCCTTCTCCACACCTCTGATTAGTCAGCGAGCGTCCGGCCTGTATTGTGGGACTCTATCTGTCGACTAATCCAGCTCCCATTTGGTCAAATGAACTGTTGCTGTCGCCGGGAAACTCCCAGGCTTCAGTTTTAGTGAGTTTCATGATGTTTTTGGGTGCTGCTGAGCTAAGCTTAATGACAGTGTGAACCACAACCCTACTTTCTTTCTAAAATAAATAAGGAATATGTCCACACCTAGACGGCTGAACTTGAAATTGAATCTTTGTGTCTGTGTTTTGTCCCTCCACCCACACTAAACCGGAAGCATAACTTTTTAAAAACGGTGGACAGCATGTTCAGAAAGTACGTTGTGAAATATTTTAAGATGGTTGAACTTAAAAAGGCCTTAAAGGTGTGAGTTAACTGAACTAAAGTGGAATAATTTGTTTCATAGTTGCGTGTTATGAGTTGTGAAAATGTAAAACCAAGTGAGGTAATTTCACTGAACTCGAGAAAACCAGTTCAATCAACTTAAGATATTAAGTTGAATGTGCCGTTCAGTCACTCTGAAAAACATTAGGGTCAGATTCGATCTCCGTTTCCTTTTTCTCAGCCTTAAGAATCAGTTCTTTGTTTTACTGTTGGAGCCACTTTGATCCAGAGTTTGTACAGAGGTAACATGCAGGGATACTCCCACTAATCTTGTTAAATTATAAATCTATGTGGGTAGGGACTGAATTCAATACCAGCTGTCATCATGATTAGCTTTGTTTTCATTATAATGATGAAAAGAAACAACCATGACTTATCTTATCTTATGTTAAAGACACAGCCAAGTCTGCCAAGTATATTCTGAAGCGGTCTGAAAATAAACACATTCAAACTTACAATGGAAGTGTTCTGAGATGAATAAAGGTTATATGTTTATGTAAACTTAATGACAAAAGATTAGCAGATTCTGCTCAATTCCTGTTTGTTTTACAGTGTACCTGCAGGTTGTTTATTG